CAGGAGCCCTCCCTGGGCTTAACTGGGGATCAGGAGCCCTCCCTGGGCTTAACTGGGAGAACACCTGGGACAAATTAAACATGGGAAAGGAACACCTGGGGAGCAAGACACAGACAAAACATGGAACAGAGTCTGACAGCAGCTGTCAAAATGTCCATTTGACCATTTCATTGTAGGTAAAAATACTGTTTGACATGCAGGTGGAGGATTTTCATATGAAAGAGTCATAATGATTTGATCAAAATGACAGTAATGAATACGAATAAGCTTTTCGTTTGTATTAGGGCATGAAAAAAAAATCCAACTATTATTCAGTATCCACCTCACTAAGCCCCTGCTATCAATCAGAGTCAATTATTTCCGAATTATCTTCTGTTTTATGCAGTTTATGTATATTCAGAGTAGACTCAGGGTTATACATTGAATATAGATGTCTATGGAGGGAAAGCAAGGGCAACAATAAACATTTACAAATAATTAGATATTGTAAAAATGCTTAAATAACTTTATATATATATTTAAAATATATATTTTTTCAATATATATTTTGCATAAATTGGATTTCCAAAATAGACTTGACACCAATTATATATAACATGAGAATTAAGTATACACATATATAAATGTATATGTATTGGTATAATAATTGTCCAGTCCATGTAAGTGCAGTCATTGTAAGAGAGCAGTGTTGTAGTCAATAGCTCATTGTTCATTTACCCCAGGGCCCTCTAAGCCAATCCCTAATATATGCAGGCTCTTCACTTCATTCTATAACAGTTTTAGCCAATTGATTTTCAGCTTTGTCTATGCCTTAAAGCCACCCAAGTGAGCCTAACCGCTCAGGCCACAACACACAGGTTGCCCTGGGTGACAGGTGTGGAGGATAGCAGTGGGAAAACCAGCCTTTATTTGACAGTTAACACCAACACTCCAACTATCCCACAATCCCTTGTTTGCGAGAGCAGGCTGATCTTGAGCATGGATGGAAGCAGACAGGCAGAGATGATGGAAACCCCCACCACCTCGCCTCTGCTCTACCCTTCCCAACCCTTCGTTCCGTTGTCATTTGCTGGGATTTCCTCTCCTCCTGACTCCCCATCTGCTTGTATGCAAACCTCGCTGAGACTAATTAAACTTTGGCAGATTAGGACTTTGCCTTTTCACTCTTTATTCGTGCTTAAACAAGTTATTACTTTTAGGAAAATTAAATTAGTCAGCTATTAATTAATCGACACACTGCTTTTGAGAGGATAGAATAAGGGGAGAAAATAAAGTAAAACGTGAAGTAAGCGCTTGAAATGGAAAAAAAGTTAAAGGTATGGGGGATTATATATAAAAAAAAAAAAACAGAATCCAAAAGGAAACAGGTTTAATATGTTATGTTGTAATGTGTTATGCTTTTGTTCAATAATAACATTTATTTAAATGTATTTAAATGATATATTGCTAATATATTGTCATATTATATTATTAGGAATTATATTTCATAAGTATTGTGTATTATTGATGCATCGTCAAGTGCAATAGCAGCAACATAACATGCAATCAAAGTGCCTATATGCAGAGTGCAATTACATTGGACAGATGGAGTCCAAAAAACAAGACAAAAAAACAAGTCCATAAGCGGTGCTGTTTCTCTTGGCTGGGCTAACAGCAGCTCAGAATAACATGTGGTTGAACACAGCAGGAGGATGAAGAAGAGGCATTGCACTGTCTAATAGCAGAAAAGATAGCCAGTAGCCACAGCACTAAAGAGTTACATTAGTGAGTAACCACAAGAGCAAGACACAAGTGAGATGTGCAGAAACGCCTCTCTCACTGTTGCATACAGCATATACATTTTTGCTTTGAAAATCTTCTCCTCATATGAAGTTCTTGTGTAAGTTTGATATTATGCAAATTCAGGGTTTAGTTGTGTACCACAAATACATCATGGCTATCAAAACAAGTCACTATTCAAATGATCTTAAATCAAACAAATAATCAAACAGTCTTACAACTTTACCCTGTTAAACTAGAATTTAACATTTAACACAGAGCAAGACTGATCCAATAGATATTCATTTGGGAATCTAATGATTGGGTCAGGCGTGCAAGTCCTGCTCCACATTCAAACATTCCCACTTAACTGGTGGTTTGCTTGTGGTGTCAATGTATTGATGAAGGTTTAAATTTAGACTTGTTCCATTGCCAGTTTCAATACATGCTGTACTGCATAACTAAAAAGACACTGTGTGAATTAATGCAAGCCACTAAACAGAAAATATACTTCCAGAGTACTACTAAAAAAAAAAAAAAAAAAAAAAATTAAATTACAAAGTGACTTACTGTATACAATGTAATTAACGTCAAACATGCAAAACATGCAAAGAAGGTAGTCTTAGTTTCGCTTTATATGCATTCAATTAGATTTAGTGTTAATAAATGTTGTTTATAATTAATGCCACTATAATTTAAGTTATATATACAGTGGGTACGGAAAGTATTCAGACCCCCTTCAATTTTTCACTCTTTGTTATATTGCAGCCATTTGCTAAAATCATTTAAGTTAATTTTTTTTCCTCATTAATGTACACACTAATTTCACTCATATCATTTGCTGCAGGTGGATTTTAAACTTTAAATTCTACTCTATTTCATAGACATGGTCCCTTTTACATGATACTGTGTACATTTCCACCATTTTCACTGGCACAGAGGAGGTGTTTAAACCTCTGAAACATTTTTCTGTGCTTACGTTCTGCATCTCTTTGCCAAAGCTTCACTTACGGCCTAAATGAGTTCCGAGCAGAGTCAGAGAGTGCCATCGTTTGGACTGTGTCCCATTGGCCTACATCTGTTAAACATGGAATTTATCTGAT